CACCAACACAATGCACATCACCATTTTTCAGACTTGGCTTTCTCCAGAAACACACAGCCCAAGACAAAATTCAATAAATTCCTACAGGGATGCCCACATTAGATTCACTACTTGGAAAACTACGCCCCAGAGAGACCATTTGGACAAGGCAGTACTTCAGCTGCTATTAAGTATTTAGAACTCTATAAGAGTTGGCAGAGTTCAGCTGCAAAACTTACTGCCCAGAGCAGCTCTGTGTGAGTGGAGCTGCTCAGTCTCAGCTGTACAAAAAAATATGTTGCTTACAATGCTTTCTTGATAACTTTTTTCTAGCTTAATCAATGGTCAGCGTGTCATGAGACCTGTGCTGCTTCAAATGCCAGTTTAGAAAGCAGAGTAAGGATTTGAGAGAAGCAGTCATGTGTCTGTTGTGGTTGCCAAGTGTCTGGTTTGCTGTGTCTCTACCTGAATGCAGGAGCAGACTCTCATGGTGTGCTACAGAGTTCCACAGGCCACCCTGGTTCAGGGAAACCACCCGGAGCACTTGTTAGAGAGGTCCTTTGGTGTCTTCTTGGGAGAAGCCCAGGAATGCCCTGGGCATGCCCAGGATTTGCCCAACATGGCTGCCCTTGCCCCCACTTACAGGTTATTGATGCTGTCCCTTCTCTCTACGTCCTAAGAAAAGCTTTGCATGAAGAACTAGGTATCTTATTAACTTCTCAATACTCCAAACCTGATCTAGGAGTTTCTCCAGCCTTTGTTCGTGGACCTATTCAGCTATACTAGCTATTCAGTGAGCCTGTAAGACTGCAGCTTGTGCATGGACTGGTAGGGTTGAGGCCCATGCAAGCCTTCTCCATGACAGTCACTCAGACAACATGGCCATGAGACAATTTTTGGAAGATTTTGCCTCTGTGTGGATCATCTGATCTGTGAGTCACTCTCTGTGAATGGGAAACTGCATCCTCAAAGGATGCAGCCTAAGCTACTGGACCATGACAGAGGTTTTTGCTTGATTTAGCAGTCCCTATGTAGTTTCTGAATTTGGCAGCAAGAAGGAGGTTGAAAACAGTCCAAACCAGGGCTGCAGCCCAACCTCTTGTGTCTCTGACTGACAGGAGTGCTTAAATAAAAAGGTGAGAATGAGGCTCTCCACCTCTCACTTTCTCAATTAGAGGGGAAAGAGGAAACATTAAATTAGTTATAAAAGTACCAATCATTAAAGTAAATTTGTGACGCTGTTTGCTAGTTTTGCTTAAGCAACACAAAACGGTTTTGCAACTATGCTACTGCCAGAAGATTCCTTCCAAATGGCAAATCTGCACATGCAAATATTGACTCAGACCTCAGTCTCAAAATGAAAGATTTCTGTGCATAAAAAATTTTTTACCAAACTGATGTGGGCTGGTCTATTTTGGTTAACAACACTTTGTAGCGTGGTTTATGTGCTGAACTGAAGGTGGAGTATATGGGCACGAGGATACAGAGAACAAGGACCTCAGGTGTATATTTAAAAGCTTAAAGTCTACCAAAGAAGTCAGATCTTGTGCAGTTTACAGTCCTACACAGATGTAGAGACAGGTCCCAGCTGATCAGATCTCCACGTTGTAGAGGCTCAATCCAAGTTCTTTCAGATATTACACATGAGGAGAGTCTAATGTTTAATCCCAAATTTTCTTATTGAGCATACTTGACATTACATTGGATTTTGAATTAGCAGAGGGATACAACAGTGTACTGAAATTGCATCACAAGCGTAACAAAGCATTTGCAATATACGGTTGAATCACAGTAGAAATGTGATTCTCATTCCGGTCTCTATAATGCTCGATGTCAACGCTTGGCCTCAGTCCCTGTGAAGAAATATATTGATTGAAACCATCTCAAGCCCATTGCTCCCTTCAAACCTTTCCATTTTGTCCAGTTTTTGTAATTTGTGTTGGACAGAGCCACATATACATGGCCCACCCTCCCTACCCCATATTTTAGTCTGGTTTGCTCAGAAAGACGTCAGTCTGAGGGAACCTGATGATTCACTGGTGCAGCTGTCTTGTCAAAAACCATGGTAACCCTTCAGTCTCCCTGGTGTTAAGATACGTGCAGTTTTTCTTTACAGTACATTATTTTTCTTTACAGAACATTATTCCTCCAGCTCATTGTCATTTTGCCCTTCTCCTGTGGGTGTGTGCTGGTCTGTCAAAAGCGCCCACGTTTTTAGAACAAGGGAAGATTTTGTTTCTTTCCTCCAGGTGGTCCAGATGAGATCTACTATGTGTTCAGCTTGGTAGATCACAGGAGCACGCAACAGTGCAAAGCAGGGATCTGTACAACCTGTCTCAGTCATAAATGACAGATTGCAATTCTATTCTTCCTTTGAGAATGACAGAGAATATTTTGAAGAGGGAATGAAGCACCAGCTGCCAGTGAGTGGAAAAGAAGGAATATGAAAAACTCTCCAATACAAAATTCAAAACTACTGGTCCAAAAACTTGAATGTGTTTCCAGAATTTTATTCATATATATTCTTAAATTATAATGTGTGACTCTATTTTTTTGTGTAACGTTGATCTAAACTCAAACCTTGAGGCTCTAGTAACGTATAATGAATGATTTTTTAAAAGTCACTATTTAATTAATAACTGCATATTCTATTTACCCATCCTGAGTTTATGAATACAGACACAATACCCTGTAGGTGACCTACCTTGAGGTAGAGTTTAGACACATATTAAAAACCATCACATTCATTACCTAGGGGATGCCAAACCAGAGTACAAGTAAGGGATCTGAAAACTTACAAATGGAAACCAAATGATGAGAGCAAAAAACCTATGGGAATACACAGATAGTGTTCTTAGTACACTAGAGACTTAGCCTTTGCCTCTATTTTGCAGAATTATGTCTTGATTCCATCTTGTGGATTTGATTAGACTAGATATGATAAATGAACAAAATTTTAACTACTATTGATTGAGGACTGCCACTAGTAAGTATGGATTGGAAAGCAGAAAGGGAGGGATATTGAAATTTGGTGTTCTGCTGCTAGTATGACACTACTAAATGAAGAAAAGACAGTCTGAATTAGAAAAAAAAAACAATTAACCAACGAACCAAAACCTCAAGCAAACAAACAAACCCCTCTTCTGAAATTCTTCTTTAGGTTAGTTACAGCAGAAGAGGCTTGAATTTGTTTACTGTTTTGTGACCTGACAGTTCAGTATAAACAAGAACTGTAGCCAGCATAATACATTTTCTAAGATTCAAAATCATACTCACTTCATACTCATACTCATATATATCATATAATCATATAATCATATAATCATATAATCATATAATCATATAATCATATAATCATACTCAGCTCACCTGTTCACTCCTCCCAGGAAGATCTTAGGACTATCCAAAATCTAAGGAGACTTCACATTATATATATGCATTCTTCTGCACCTCTGCAACAGGAAGCAGTTTCTACAGTGTAGGTAGAAGCTGTGAATGGTTCTGCCTGGTGAATGACAGTAACTGATCAGAAGAGTGCAGTGGGGGTTGCTTCATATTGAAAGAGGGGATAAGCAGAGATCCCCATGTTTCTTAATATACCCCGTTTCTGAAGTGATACAGATTAGATAGGGAGAAGACAATTTTTATCTAAATCATAATTGTTGCCTTTGTCTCAAAAAACCCACCCACCCAACTAACAAACCAAAAAACACCCCCAAAAAGCCATAGATTTGATATTGACCACGCAACCACCTAAGGACAATATTAGAAAAAATATTTGAAATGTCAGGATAATGAGCTCCTCTTTTATGCTTTTATTATGGCCTTAGAGAGCAAAACACTTTTTTGGTTTTATGATAGAATGTAATTGTAATTCCATCATTATTAAACAGACTGAGGGAAGCTGCTTCTTCCCAGTTTAGTTTCACAATAGAGAATCTACTTATTGTATCTAAAATGGTACAGTTTAAAAAAGTACACAGAAATTATATTTGCATTTCATACATAAAATGACAAAAGAAAACAAATAATAAACTTTTTTTTTTTCTGGGAAGAAAAAAGGAAACATTCTTTAGGTGTTAGTCTAGCAGTTATTCCAGCTCAGGATGTTCTTACAATGTGACATTTTGAACATCCTATGTCAAGGATTGCTCCTTGCTTTAATAAATAATAATTCAGAATCTCCTTTTTTTAAGTATAGATTTAGATCTCTTAAAAAAAAGGAAAATAAAAACAGGTAAAGATCCAAATGCATGGTCTTCTGTCAACAGCAGGATTTTTTTTTTTTTTTACTAATTAGGGAGCAGAAATGTAGGTCTACTAGTTGTAGTAAAGAACCTTTGGTAAAAACTTAAAAAATTACCCCACTGCAGTAACTGGAAAGGTGCAAAACTAGCAGAAGTCGTAAAATAATATAAGTTTAGCATTATAAAAAAGGATTCTATTCCACCTTCTGGTTAATATCTGCTTAAAGACACAAAGCTACTTATGTCAAAATTGAAGATTTGAGAAATGGGAGGTAGAAATGGAAATAAAGTAACCAGTATATTAAATAATGTGGAAAATTTCCTAAAACTGGTAAGAGATCCGAAATCATTAAAAATTCTGTAGAAAAGTTTACAGCACTTTGAACACAAATAAACCAAAAGTATCAAGATCAACAGCATGAAAATAATGATAATTTAAAGTAATTCAAACCAACATCAGCTCGAGCAATAAAATAAAATACATACACATATAAAAATGGTTTATACAAATCTAAGGAGAGAGAAAAAAGCTTTTCAATTGTACGAACATGTATCTCGTCTGAATTTTTTTTTGGGGGGGAGGTGTGGTGTTTTGTTTATACTGCAGACTTCGCAGCTCTCTAACAGGTTGCAGAAACGATGTGTCGTCATCCGTCACGGAGACAGGAAAAAGCGATGGGAACCCCGCCCTCGCGCTCTGCAGTCCTCAACCAGGTCGGACCGACCGCAATATACACGCGCTGGGGCCCATCCTCGCTGCACAGCGGCTGCAGCTGAGCGAGGCGCACCATGTCTGGCAGAGGCAAAGGCGGGAAGGGGCTCGGCAAGGGCGGCGCCAAGCGCCACCGCAAGGTGCTGCGCGACAACATCCAGGGCATCACCAAGCCGGCCATCCGCCGCCTGGCTCGGCGCGGCGGCGTCAAGCGCATCTCGGGGCTCATCTACGAGGAGACGCGCGGCGTGCTGAAGGTTTTCCTGGAGAACGTCATCCGCGACGCCGTCACCTACACCGAGCACGCCAAGAGGAAGACGGTCACGGCCATGGACGTGGTCTACGCCCTCAAGCGCCAGGGACGCACCCTCTACGGCTTCGGCGGCTAAAACGCACCTTTTGTTCCCGGATCACCTCGAGAAACGAACCCAAAGGCTCTTTTAAGAGCCACCCACTTAAACTAAAAAAGAGCTGAGTTGCAACATTTTGGGGGCCCGTCTTGCATAAAGAGGGGAGGGGACATAGTCGTTCTATTAATATAGGTTTAGGACCATTTTTTTTCAGGTCTCTGTAAAAGCAAAACGAGTAGCAAAGCACTCTAAACTTGAACTCCTGATCCGAGGTGGCCTGTTTTAGAGGCATGTCATCTGTCTGTTTAAATTAATGGTGGAAGTAGATATGTTTACACTTTAGTTATGTTAATGTCTATTGTGATACTTAGTGGGACGTATCACGGCTGGTCACTCCTTAAGCCTCTTAAAAAATTAAATACCGGAATCATCCCGTTTGTCCTTTTAAAAGTGGAGTGTAGGAAATCGTCCGTTATTCTTCGCGCATTCGGTGCGCTAAAGCTTAGGAAAGTTTCTTCTTTTTAATTAAGCGTTTAACAGAGCATAATTTCCAATTATTTCCCTTTTGAACACTTTCCCCTAAAGGTTTTATTTTCGTGGTAGGCTGTAAAAATCGTTATAAGAAATAGACCACACTGAAAGCAGACGCGGCGGGGGGGGGGGGGGGGGGGGGGGGGGGGGGGGGGGAGGCCGCGCGCGGGCGGCCGGTTGGTGAGGGCGCGCGCGCGCTTTTCAGGCGGGCTTTTCGAATTTGAAATCATCCAATAAAAGCGGAGGATTCTCGGTAGCCAATCAGGGTGAGGAACGTTCTATAAAAGCCGCCCGCGGGAGCGAAGCGGTTTTATTTTCTCGCTGCGGTCTCAGCGGTGACTGCTCTCCCTGAGCCATGGCGCGCACAAAGCAGACGGCGCGGAAGTCGACGGGCGGCAAGGCGCCCCGCAAGCAGCTGGCCACCAAGGCGGCCCGCAAGAGCGCGCCGGCCACGGGCGGCGTCAAGAAGCCGCACCGCTACCGGCCCGGCACGGTGGCGCTGCGCGAGATCCGCCGCTACCAGAAGTCCACGGAGCTGCTGATCCGCAAGCTGCCCTTCCAGCGCCTGGTGCGCGAGATCGCGCAGGACTTCAAGACCGACCTGCGCTTCCAGAGCTCGGCCGTCATGGCGCTGCAGGAGGCCAGCGAGGCTTACCTGGTGGGGCTCTTCGAGGACACCAACCTGTGCGCCATCCACGCCAAGCGCGTCACCATCATGCCCAAGGACATTCAGCTCGCCCGCCGCATCCGCGGAGAGCGCGCCTGATTCTGCGGCCACAGTTTCTGTCTAGATGTCCCTGAACATTATCCCCGCATCCTAAAGGCTCTTTTAAGAGCCACCACATTGCACAAGAGAGTTGAAACATGGCTTTTCTCATACTTTCTTACAAACTAGGGGTTCTGAAGTTCTTATTGGTTATTGCAATTTTAACGATAATAACTTTGTAAACCTTGCTAAATAGTCACTTTGAACTACTGTATTGTTTTGAGCAGTGTTTAGTGCAGTTTGAGTGAGGTGCCTGGAAATGCCCATTTAACTATAGAGAATAAGTAAGCTGCACAAAAGGAGTGATATTGAGAAAAAGCAACACACTACTACAGACAAGTTACACCCATTTTTCCCTGCACCCTTCCCACTCCTGACATACTGCTTCCTGTAAAGTGCTATGTTTGCCATAATTTTTGTTGACTAGAGCAGCCTTTTACTTTTAAGTATTATGGAAGGCATAACCTGAGTTAGTATTGGAAGACAAACTTCGAGTTTCAATCAACTTTTTATTAACCATTATACTCTTATTGTGTCTTTGACTATGATGTACCAAAGAAATTTTAGCTGGATATGTCAGCCCTGCCTCTATCACATGAATAAAACAGTGCTAAGATTATAAGCTTGATGAAAGGAATAAAAAATGATAAATTATTGTCACTTTTATTCTTATTTTTTTTTTTTCTGTTGTGAGTTTGAGAAAAGGCTGGAGAAAAGGACTAAGGACAATTTGGAAAAGGCAAAGAGAATCTGGTGTTTATTTTTGGGAAGTCATTCTTCTGTTTTTGAAATACCTTGAGAGCACTGGCTCCGTAAAAGTTTTTCTGGCTTTTGCATGGTGCCAAATCAACCAAGGGAAAGGAAGAGGCTGTCAAGCTTTTGCACCTTTGTAACTAATGGGAGAGCTGCAGCAAAGAGGCTTATACGATTTTGGTAACTGAAGACAAGGGTTTTGTGTTTGATAAGAAGAAAACTGAGTCAGTAGAAGAAAAAAAAAATCAGGGAATCAGAAAGTCAACACTTAGGAGAATTTTGTTGATTCAATAAAGTTTTGTAGTCAAGAAATTACACTTGGCCTTTAGTTCAGTTTTAGTTGTTTGAGGCTTGTCGACTCTCGCTGTTTTATTATTTTAGAGAGGTAAGTTTTCTATTAATTCACAAATAAACCACCCACATTCCTATGGATTTTGTTGCTTTGCTGTCCCAGCATCTTTTCCTTTTCCCTTGATAATGGACTCTGGCCTATCCAATACACTTCTGTAAATGTAACCAGCCAAATTGGTCTGAAATTAAACTTCACGTACTTGAGTATGGCATCTGGGGGAATCTGTAAGAAGTTTCATATGGTGTGTTTCTGAAACACCCAACAGGACATAAACATGGTATATGTAAGAAATATTTATAACATAGTGATGTAGGTATCAAAGTATATACACATACATATATGTACATATTCTATACCTGTATACATACATTTATATGCTCTTTTTTCCCTCAAAAATTTTAGTTCTCAAATCCTTCCACCTCCATCTCTTTCCCAAACCTCTCTGCCTCAGCAGCACCTGGCTTTTTTTTTTTTTTTTTTTTTTTTTTTTTTTTTTTTTTTTTTTTTTTTTTTTTTTTTTTTTTTTTTTTTTTTTTTTTTGCATTTCCAACCATATGCTATGGTATTTTGAATGGTAGGAACTACTTCTCAGTTGGACTAGATGATCGTTGTGAGTCTCTTATAGCTGAAACTGTTCTGTTCCATTCATCCCTTTTTACATCACCACTTGCAGTGTAAGGTGACAATTTTAGGCCTCTGAAAGCAGCAGTGCTCATGTTGGTGTAGCACAGAGACTGTGCCTATAGGTTTAATTTATAAGAAATTATATTATTATAATTTTAAAATTAACTACTTGTCAGCCTACGCTCTAGGACTTCAGTAGGCTCCATGCTGATACGAATTGTTGTTTCACACTGGCAATGTATTATTAGTGATACTTTTTAGAAATAAGACAGAGTTTCTTTATTTATTTTTTCTAGTTAGTATTAAATATGCTCTAAGACAACTGAAGCAGAACGAACAAGGACTGAGATTATGCTTTTGTTTCTGCATTTGTCTGACTTTTAAGAGCATGTGGAACTTTTATGGCCGGTTGAAAGGTTTCCTTCATTCCCCAGGCTGTAAGTTAAAATTCTCTTCTTACATCAATGCTGCCTAATCAAACAAGGAGAAATGTTTGTCATGCAACAACTTAAATTCCAAAACCTCCAAATATTTTCTTTCTTATCAGTTAAGCTTCTTTTATTTCCATTCCCTTCAAACTCAAAAAAAGTTTTAATTTACATGCTAAGGAATAGAGGTGAAATGTATCTTGAAAGAGGTGAAATATATAATAAAAAAAGTAACATACTGTTCAATACAGACTGCACAACCATTCCATTCAGCACTTGGTAACACTGCAGCTCTGCTTTCATTGCAGCTTGATTCTAAAATAAGGCCATGTAGACCAACAAATTCATTCAGGGGGATTTACGTGGGAGGAAGAAAAAAACAAGCAGGGAAAAAAAAAAGGAAGACTGAACCCCTGAACAAACCTTAATCTTATCTGTTTGCTAGTGAGTCTTTACACTTTCTTTTCTCATCTACCCGAGTGCCATCTCTGACAGATTGTGTCTATGGCGCAGCGTCTTTAAGCAGGCAAATAATGCCCAGAAACCTCTAATGACAACAGGTGACTGCTCTGGCTTCTAATAGCAGCCTTCAGCACTCAGGGTTGTTGCACCTCAGGTACCAGATGTTTTTGCAAATGGGGAGAAGATAGGAAGATGTTTCCCAAAATAAGAGGAGAAACATCAACTATGTATGAATCTGCGTTATGAATCCGCGTTATGAATCCGAGGCCTAATTTTTACTTCCTAATTTAATTCTCAAACTCTTGTTAGACCAATCTTGTCTAAGTAACAATTTGAGCAAAGGTGGGTTCTTGGAAATTTGAAAGCTGCATGCATATACATCTATCTTTCCAGATACTCATGAAGAATCGTAAAGAACTGACTGCAGAAATCTGACAACTCAGCATGTCAGATATTGTGATCACTACTTGGAGAAGTGCAAGTTCAAAGACAAATATATTTATATCTGTTATTACAAGAACACATAAGTTTCTGCTCCAAGATTTCTATAAAACTCTTATTGAAAATACTCTCCTCCCAAAAAAATGCTCAGAAAATACATAACCTTTTTCCGACTGTTTTTATTATTATAGGGCAACAAATCTGGACAAACACAATAAGTTATTCCTGTCTACAGTACTTTTCGATCAGTTTCTTGACCTTTTCAGGTACTTTTCTGTGCTGCCAGAAAGAAGCCTCAGGTCATCAGCGTGGTAGTCCCTCATTTTTAGACCAGCCTCAAAACTGGTTTATTGAGGTGGATATTCTTGCTTCTGGCATTAACAGTGGTTTGAACAAGGTGGAAGCTCCCTTTAAGACAATCTGTTTTAGCCAGGTTTGACAGTAACACAGTTCCAACGAGCCACAGGAAGTTTCTGCTCTTGCTTTAACCCAGCCAGCCGCAGAGTTTAAGGTGCAGATTTCCTGAGCACAGGGGGCCCTCCCTGGACAGAGGCTTGACCCTATCCTGTCCCCCCACCCACCGCCCTTCCACCTCCCTTCTCACAATGCTGTGTAATGTCCAGCATTGTCATACGGATGTAGACCCCTCCATCCTGCCTCAGGTTGTCTGCTCAACCCCTCCTCAAGTAATATATCGATCTCTCATTTCAACCCTTTGATTTGTCTCCTTCCCCCACCCAGTGTTCATAAAGCACCTGTTACTCCCCTTTAATATTTGCAAAGTACCGCGGGTGAATTGCAAACAGGGAAATATTAAGCCTTGTGGGTTTTTTTAAGGAGAATTATTTATATGCAGGAAGCAGTAAAATAAGATGGGACAGATATAAGAGCAGCTGGAACCTCAGAATAAGAGCTTTCAGCCTGAAAATAAACGTTAAAACCCTGATCGTTTTAAAACAGCATTACAGCTCTTTTTATTGACTTGTGTAGTGGCTCTTAAAAGAGCCTTTGGGTCTGTGTGGGCTGCCTGCGTGCCTTGCCGGGGAAGGGCTGCGGCAGGAGACTCAGGCGCGCTCTCCGCGGATGCGGCGGGCGAGCTGGATGTCCTTGGGCATGATGGTGACGCGCTTGGCGTGGATGGCGCACAGGTTGGTGTCCTCGAAGAGCCCCACCAGGTAAGCCTCGCTGGCCTCCTGCAGCGCCATGACGGCCGAGCTCTGGAAGCGCAGGTCGGTCTTGAAGTCCTGCGCGATCTCGCGCACCAGGCGCTGGAAGGGCAGCTTGCGGATCAGCAGCTCCGTGGACTTCTGGTAGCGGCGGATCTCGCGCAGCGCCACCGTGCCGGGCCGGTAGCGGTGCGGCTTCTTGACGCCGCCCGTGGCCGGCGCGCTCTTGCGGGCCGCCTTGGTGGCCAGCTGCTTGCGGGGCGCCTTGCCGCCCGTCGACTTCCGCGCCGTCTGCTTCGTGCGCGCCATCGCTCCCCGCTCTCAAACCTTCGGAACAAGAACACCAAGTAACTGTAACAGGCGCTGCAACGCCTTTATTTATAGAGCCGCCTCGTCTCTGATTGGACCACAGGAGCGCGCTCTCATTGGCTACCGTGTCAATCCAGGCCGCAGCCCCTCGGACCCTGCTGCCGGTCCGTGGCCTGGGGCGGGTATTTCAGACTCTGCGCTCGTATCTCCTCTGCTTCGACTCTGCCAGTCTCCTGGGGTGATAACAAAAAAAGGAAAAACTTACTTCAGTGCCGTAGAGAGCTCTTTCTTATGTTAACGGGCACGTTATCCCGAAAGTCTCAAAGGAAAAACCGGCTGTTACCTCTAAATACAGGCGCTCAAAGAATCTAATAATGCAAGTTTGTACCTATAACAAGTTGTTCCAAGTATGTAACAAGCTGTAACAATCGAGATAATGTTTTAATGTTTTCCTCCTATTTTTCCCTAGTTTTTCTATTTTTTTCTCTAGTTTTATTTTCACTAGGAAATTCTGAATGAGGCCTTACATATCACCAGGTAAAATTGTGACTTTGAGACTCCTCAGGCAATTATTTTTTTTTATTTCCAGTGAAATTAAAAGCTTAAGGAATATGGTATCACGCTATTATTTAATTTGTCTCTGCTCATTAAGTTTGTGAAAAAATCAGGTTGTGACCACGAGTATTTATTATCATTGTTTGCAGGTGGCAAATGATCTCCAAAGGTTTTAGGTAAAGCTGAAATCCTGTTCTTTTCCCTTCAGTGATGAAGGAAGTACAACAAAAATACTTTAGAAGTGAGTCCCAGACTGGAGTGTTCTTCCTATGCAAAGTGCTTGCACACGTCTTCTATTGAAATTTTTTTTTTTAATGTGTTTCTAGGGTCATGATTTGGTTTTATTGTCCTGTCCCCTCCCAGCCCTTCCCTTCCCTCCAAACCAATAAAAAACATGATCTTTATAAAATAATATTAGATTTACTCTTGAGATTTCTTCTAGAAATAAACCATTTGACATGGAAAGGAAGTTTATAAAAATTAGAAATATAAGAAAATGTTTATCTCAGAGTAAGTTTCTTATTTTTCCCTAGCTAATTGGTTTACAAGTATCTACTTAAAAAAAAAAAATTGAAGTACAAACCACTAAATTGTAGTTAAGATAGTTGTTTAAGTTGGCGAACACTAAAAAAAAAGTAGGCTTTCAGTTTTGACTAAATAGCACTCGAAGTGATTTTTATTGGGGTACGTTTCTAAGAGAATCTGGAATACACAAGGAAAAGTGCATCTTACACAGCAATGAGCATTTCCCCGTTAGCAGCAGTTGCACATTACACAGCACAGGGTTAATCACAATGCATAGCAATGGTATTCCATCACTAGCATTAATAATCTTAATAAATTGGATACTACACACTTAAATTCAGTTACCGTTTTCAATTAAGCAAGTTAACACAGCTCTTTTAATGGAAAAAGTGGGTGGCTCTTAGAAGAGCCTTTGGGTTCGTTTCTCGAGGTGATCCGGGAACAAAAGGTGCGTTTTAGCCGCCGAAGCCGTAGAGGGTGCGTCCCTGGCGCTTGAGGGCGTAGACCACGTCCATGGCCGTGACCGTCTTCCTCTTGGCGTGCTCGGTGTAGGTGACGGCGTCGCGGATGACGTTCTCCAGGAAGACCTTCAGCACGCCGCGCGTCTCCTCGTAGATGAGCCCCGAGATGCGCTTGACGCCGCCGCGCCGAGCCAGGCGGCGGATGGCCGGCTTGGTGATGCCCTGGATGTTGTCGCGCAGCACCTTGCGGTGGCGCTTGGCGCCGCCCTTGCCGAGCCCCTTCCCGCCCTTGCCTCTGCCAGACATGGTGCGCCTCGCTCAGCTGCAGCCGCTGTGCAGTGAGGATGGGCCCCAGCGCGTGTATATTGCGGTCGGTCCGACCTGGTTGAGGACTGCAGAGCGCAGGGGCGGAGCATAAGTCACGCTCCCGCCACCTCCTCTCTATCGCACGACCCGCGAGCACAAATGTGCGGAATTTTTGCGAATTTCCCTTCCCCGCAGCGCAAGCGGTTCGGTGTTTCTGCCACTTTTCGGTGTGTTCGATTTTTGTTTGTTTCTTTGTTTTAATTTGTTTTGTTGTTTGTTTGGTTTTGGTTTCGATTTTTTGTCTTTTTTCTTTTTTTACAGCAAAGTCATCGTGTCTTTGTGTATAATAGTTTATATATACTTTTAAAAATAATTGATGTGTTGTGATCGTTTAGAAGAAAAAGCTCACTCATAGAAAATTATTACAGTTATTGATTCGCTTAAATTACGTTTTGATTTTTTCACTATAACTATTTTCAAAGATTGGTATGTCCTATGTATTTCAATTTCACCAGTTTACATAGATTCTCGTGTGCTGCTTTACTGTTTATATAGTTACTGCACACGTTTTTTAACGGATAGTCTTGCAGCGAAGTCTGTCCAATCATGTTTCAGAGAAATTCTACCCCTCCTCGATTTTTTTTCTCATCTTCATTTCCCATTCTCTCTGAAAGTTGTCTGAAGGTGAGTTTAGCAGTAAAGGTACACTAATCAAGACTTTACATGTTTCAGTTTCATTTTTAAAAGACAAAACGATTTTTTAAACTAATATTTTTACAGGATTTTCCATTGCTGTGGTGGCAAAGACAAGAATGTGGCTATTTTTAGAGACATTGAAAAATTAAATACATAAAATAAGGGTGGCCTTGTACTTGTGGGGTAGGTATTCAGCTCTGGATTTGCTTTCTTTAGCAGAGGAAAATATTCGGAGACTTTTCTGTTGAAAACAAGTATTTATCAAAAATCATTCAGTAGATCGTTTTCGACCTGAAAATATTTGGAAAGGGTAAAAAAAAGTTTCCAATATTGAGCGTTTGCTGCCCTCTCATGGACATTTTTTGTTTGTTTGTGTGGGTTTTTTTCCTACAAGCTTGGCAGCTTTCTGTAATGTACACTTTCGTAAAGATAGAACATAAGATTAAACAATAATCAACCTCTATCTTCACACAGATCACAGGTACAGATGTTGCATCTGTTAGCAGAGAAATTAGTGTTCCAGTGGCTCCTCACTGACAAATGAAAATAATGTAGTCTGCCATGTCATTCATGCACAGTTTCTTCAGCACAGGCCCAAAAGAAACCCAAATGGGGCAAGACAAATACCTGGACTCCAAAGGAGACATCCTAAAGTTTCAAACCAGTAACAAAGGCCCTGTTCCACAAGGAACATGATAGCATTCTAGATTGGGCAATGGAGGTACTTTATTTCCAGAGTACAGTGGGGATGCCAAAGCCAAGTTCATGGTGTTCTCTCTCCTAAGGCCAGTTTGCTCCTTTCACGGGGGGAATTTCAGGGACCACGACTGGACTGCTGCGGAAGACCAGGCTACCATGAGAAACTGGGCACTCCATAGTCACTTCCTCTGTCATTCCCAGGAGATTTTGACAGTAAGGTAGGTATGCCCTGCACTGGTAAGGATACACTTGGTGTAACATTTCCAGCTGGCTTTTTCACTCTCTGTGTACACAAACAAATCCACGGGATGTTACAAACAGAGTAGTTTAGCACTGGCTGCTGCTGCTTGAACCCACTCTGCCATGAAAATCCAGTTGTTCAGTCTGCTCAATCAGACTTCAGGGACTCTGTATCAAGGGCCTCTCCTGGAAGTTATTACCACTTGCAGATGTCCGCCATGAGGTTATCAGAAAATTCTGGGCTTCGCCAAATCACATACCTATGCATTTTTCATAAGCTGTCCAGCTCTGCAAAGCTGAATTTTTGTTTCGGCCTTTTTTTTTTTAAGGGAATGAAATTAAGTTAGAGCCTCATAGTATAACCCTCCCCCATACTGAGCTTCTTCTGCCCAAGAATCTGTGACTACATATAATATTCTCTGTCTCTTGCTGTCTCTCTCCTTTGCAAAATATCAGAACAATCTGGAAAAGGATTTTTTTAAAAAATAATAGATACATGCTTCTCCATAGAATTTCTTTAAACTCATGACAGAAATATAACTAATAAAGTGAAGCAAGTTTGGAGCCGAGTTCCCTCTCTTCTTCCCTTCCAGCTGATTCTAAAGTATACATCAAATATCATCTGGTCTGTGAAATCAGTGCAATGAATTAAACTGGAACTTGAGATCCATAGAATTATTTGCACTGTAAGGGACACTCAAGATCATATAGATTAACCTCTGTGTTGCGTTAAAAATTTGGCAGAAAATTAACACCCTTGCATTCTAACTGGGCTTAATTTCTGATTACTGCAAATTCAGCACTGTAACCCTAGTAGTGTTCAATAAGAACTTTCATGAGCACAGATTCACAAATAGTGCAGTTTACGATCCAGCACTACAGATCTGGTTGCATTCAATAAGAACTTGTGTAATCACAGATTCAAAAATAGTGCAGTTTGTTGAAGCAACAGAAATACCGATTTGAAATAGCCATTGCTAAATGCACAAGCTGTGATAGAGCTCCAACAAGAACAATAATATTGGGTTAACCTGGATAATAATAATAATAATAATAATAATAATAATAATAATAACAACAATTGTGTGCAGAAGCTTAGCAAGAAGGCCTCCCCACTCGGGAGGAGAGAGAGGAGAGTAACCCGTCGATGGTCTCCAAGGTTTTTTTGGGGTCTTCCTCCTAAGTAGGTGAAATTTCTAGCCTTCTTATATATAGCACACTCTTATCCCACTCTCCTCTTACGTATGACGTGATCTAGGTGGAGAGTTAAGTAATATAATCATATATGTGGTAACACATACTTCATTAAGCTTATTTGCATATGTAGTAGTATGAGTTTTAATAGTTAAATGACTCCTTTTTAGGCAAAAAATAGTTTTTTGGCCATGTGCCCCTCAAAGTTCAGATGATATGACTTTGTTCTATTCTGTGTTGTTTCTCAGAGCTAAAGCAGGACCATCTTATCTCCACAAGAACTCTTCCTTCAATCAAATCATTCTCACTTGACGGCAGTGATACGTACCTCCATGCACAAAGATGACACAGAAAGTACACAGGGTAGGCCATAGACAGTAAGATACAGCCCTTGCCTTGGTCCTTGGTCAACATCCCACACCCTTGTGCTGTGGGTAGGGACTTCTTTTACTAGATCAAGTTTTCAGTGACTGATGTACACAATAATCCTATTATTATTTTTCTACATTTCAAATTTCCCCCAACTCCTGGCAGCCCAATCCTGAACTCATTTATGGGGAAACTCTCCACTCACTGAGGTTTCACTGATGTCCCAGCAGAAGGCCTGTAGGAATGATGAACAAAACTCACATCGGAATAGAAATGCAAGAGATCACAAAAACCAATCTGCAAAGTGAAAATCAGAATAAAACACAACTCCAAATCTAGGAAGAATTGTTCAAAATTGAGTAGGGAGAGTGAATGGGAATCTTAGGAGGAGTCACACTGATGACTTCATTGTGCTTTGACAACCTGTTCTGGTGCAGAGGGATTTCAAATTCCCACAGAAAAAATAGTGGTTGGTAACCCCCAGTGCCCAGCAGTAGATTGGGTGCATTGTGATCTAGACAGTAAAAAAGAAATTTGTGGAAGAAAAGCTATGTTGTGTAACCTTGCTAAGTCAAAGCTGTCTGGTTGAAAAGTGGTTCTGTACCTGAACTGAAGCAGGCCCAAATCTGTACCAACACGCAACCAGCAGAGAACAAGTCTGGTATTAATGCCATTCATATTGTACTCTTACTTTTCCAGACTCCACAGTGGTTGTCCCAAGCTTCTGTCCATACACTATAGCTGTCTCTCCGCTCTGCTCCTTCTTTTTGAGAACCTGTAAACTTAGTCTTGAAATGTACACAACATACATTTCACAATTTATTCAGCCCAGGATACTATGAAGGACTTTTTCTCTGCTTTATTCATCCGTCACGGGTTAACCCCAGCCAGCAATTAAGCACCATGCAGCTGCTCACTCACTCACCTCCAGAGAGATGAGAAAAATGTAAAAACTTGTGATTGGAGATAAGGACAGTTTAATAGGTAAAGCAAAAACCATGCACACAAGCAAAGCAAAACAAGGAATTAATTCCTCACTTCCCATTGGCAGGTAGGTGTTCTCCAGGACAGCAGGGCTCCATGACACGTAATGGTGACTTGGGAAGATAATGACCATCACCCTGAACGCCCCCTTTCCTTTTATTTCTCCCCACTTTAGCTGCCTGAGCATGACACCATATGGTCTGGAATATCCCTCTGGTCAGTTGGGGTCAGCTGTCCTGGCTGTGTCCCCTCCCAACCTCTTGTGCACCCCCAGCCCCCTCACTGGTGGGGTGGTGCGAAAAGAAGAAAAGGCTTTGATGCTGAGTAAGCATTGCTCAGCAATATTGAAAACCAGCCTTTGTTATCAACACTGTTTCCAGCACAAATTTGAAACATCTTTGTGCACAAACTAACGTTGCTCAACCTTTTATGCAAGACCAGCTTCCAATTTTCTCAGTCAAATGCAGAAGGTTTTTTGGAAACTATTGGAGTACTTTCACTTGAAATAAAACTTCAGCTTTGGTGTTTTTAAGAAGTGAGCCTCTAAAGAGAGACATTTTAATAATTTTTCAAAGACATGCTAAGGCCATGCTGAATAAACTCTTACTCTCACATGACAACGATGACCATAAAAGATACAGATACACAAGAAGCACAGGAGTAACATAACTCACTAACAGAGAACAAAGATGTAAAGAAATACATATATGAAAATTACCTGGTTTTGTGGCAATCTGACAGGCAATTGGGCTTTGTGGTGACTAATGCTGATGAAAAATTCTGTAACCCCATCATAGACCTGCTCATCAGTACCAAGTAAATTTATTATTCTGTGAATGACTAACTTAA